GTCATAAGTTGAGGACTAGCTGTATTTAAAAATCTGTCCACTGTCCACAGATGAATAGGTCCATGTCTTTGTAGGAACATGAAGCAGGACCACAGATAAGTTTCAAAACTTCCTTCACTAAAAGGTCCAACAGATTTCCCTTTTATATCCATTCTGATGCTTATATGGAAGTGGTTGATTTCTTCAGGACTTTGAAGTTACTTCTCCCAATTCTTCTTTTGAAATGTTGTATTTATAGGTTCTGGATTTTTCTTTGTTATTTTTTACTGTTTTACAGTTTTAAAACTATATATCGTAAAGTGCAGGTTAACTAATTTGATAATCTAGGTTTGTGCCATTCCAAAGGGGTTTTTTTTAGGCAGAAACGCAACCTAAGGAATTTTTTCCTTAAATTCTATTAAATCAGAGGTGTCTCGTGAACTTTGGTGCTGGAGAAGACTTGTGCAAGTCCCTTGGACTGCAAGGTGATCAAACTGGCCAGTCCTAGAGGAGATCAACCCTGATTCGATCGCATCAATTAGGCCTCCTCCGAATCCCATCTTCCAGCCAGTGCAGACTGGCAACTACCCGGAGGAGAGCCTTCTCGGTGGCTGCTCCGACCCTTTGGAACGAACTCCCCATGGAGATTCGGACCCTCACCACCCTCCAGTCCTTCCGCGCCGTTTTAAAGATCTGGCTGTCCCGGTTGGACTGGGGTTAAGATTGTAGCCCCACCCGAACTGTTGTGCTCTTTTTTAACATGTTGTATTGTCTACTGCTTGTCTCCCCCCCCTTTTTGAATTGTGAGCCACCCTGAGTTCCCCCAGGGAAAAGGGCGGCATACAAATAAAGGAAACTAAACTAAACTAAACTAATATGTCATGGTCAATGCAATAGAAAATATAATGCTTTTATTGCATTTTTTTTAGTGCAAGAGATGACCCAACTGAGGCCAAGGGGTGAATCAAATACATCATCAGTTTGGAATCTCTAAGTCCTCATAAGAGACCTAAATTGACAAACACAAACTTTGAATTCCATTGGCTCTTATCTGGAACCAATTCACTTTGACTGCTAATAGTTCAGATTCTTGGGTATAGGTAGCATGAAATAAACTTGTAATAATTTTAAACTGTGTCCTGATTCCTGACTTCTTGAACCTGGCAGTAACTTCTCAAAGATCTCCCAAATATAAATTTATCAAAGAAAAGCATTATTTTGTACAATAAGTACTACAAAAATAAGCAGAAATGTGTAATATTGACTAATTATAAAGAGGAATAATGTACAGAGGAGCATAATGGTGTACCGTGTTTCCCCGAAAATACGACTGGATCTTATTTTCTTGTTACTTACAAAATATGGCCTTGGGATTATTACAGGGGATGGTTTATTGTTTTGGGGTTGCCGGGCGGCTTCTCCCTTGCGAACTGGCTCCCGAAAAGCC